TACCACCACACCCTACTTCTATCTTTCTTTCTTTTTTATTTTTAATTACTTTAACCTTTAACCTGCATATATTTTTAATACACTGTAAACCATTTAGAGGTTTTCTTCCTCTTTGAATCTCTCTTTACTGTATATCTCTCTTTTTTTTTCTGACTATGTGAGTCTTTAAGGAGAGGACAAAAGCTGTGGCTTTGACAGTTAGATCCAGCCCATTCCTTAGCTTTCCAGCCTCACGGCTGAGATACCAGCCAGAGCTGTGTTCACTGCCACACCTCTATGGCGTTTCAAGGTCCTTGCCAGCAAGCAAGCTGCAGCATTCTGCTCACAGAACACATTCAAATCCTCCATAGTCAGACTGCCTGCCTGAAAGAGGCAGAGTTTGCCCTAGCAGAATGGCCCAGAAAACCAGCATTTTAAAACAGCGCAGCTTTTTTCCTGTTACGGCTAAAAACCAAAGAGCATGCATTCAGCTTTTCATCAACACCGTTTAAGTGTTTTGTGGCAGGACCTCTAAATGAGCTACAAAGTTTTGCAGCTAAAGCTGAGTCAGGAAGCCTCTCTTAGATGAGAGCGCTTGCTTGCCTCTAGCAAGCAGAGCAGACCCAAGAAATTGCTGCTACCAAGAAACCATGCAATGCTGTTATTTTGTTCTAGAATTACTTCCCAAGCTGTCTCAGGCTTTATGTGGATACAGTTGTCGACACGTTGGCGCCATATTTAACATGAGGGCCGGCTTGGGATTTCCGTCCCGCCCAGTACCCCACAACCAGCAAATCCCAAAGAGAAACATTTAAACGATGTTGGTGAAAAGCTGAACGCATGCTTTTCGGTTTTCAGCCATAGCAGGAAAAAAGCTGTGCTGTTTTAAAATGCCGGCTGTCCTGCCAGGACAAACTCTCACTCTTGCAGGCAGGCAGTCCGACTGAGTGTCGTCTGTGAGCAGAATGCTGAAGCTTGCTTTTTGGCAGGGACCTTGAAACACTGTAGAGTTGTGACGGTAAAAATGGCTCTGGTGGTACCTCTGCCATGAGGCTGGAAAGCTAAGGAATGGGCTGGATCTAGCCGTCAAAGCCACGGCTTTCATCCTCTTCTTAAAGACTCATGTGGTCAGAAAAAGAGAGACATACAGTAAAGAGAGATTCAAAGACAAAGAAAATCTCTTAATGGTTTACAGTGTGTTAAAAATATATGCAGGATAAAAATTAAAGTTCTTAAAGTTAAAAAGAAAAAGAGTAGTTGGATGAGGTAGTACACACCTTTAATCCCAATGCCTGGGAGGCAGAGGTAGATTGACCTCTGTGACTTCAAGGGGGCAGAGGTAGGTTGACCTCTGTGACTTCAAGGTGTGCTAGCACACACCTTTAAACCCAATGCCTGGGAGGCAGAGACAGACAGATCTCTGTGAGTTCAAGGTGTGATAGCATAGGTCTTTAATCCCAGCACTTGGGGAGGCAGAGACAGACGGATCTTTGTGAGTTCAAGGACAGCCTGGTCTACAGAGTTATTCCAGGACAAAGATATATACAGAGAACCTGTCTCAAAAAGCTAAAAGTTAAAAATAAAGAAATAGATGTTAAAATAAAGCCGCATAAAGATGGAAAATACACAGAGAATCTTGATACTGTATGTTATTATGCTCTCTTTGAATTGTTTGAATGCTGAGGAAGGAGAAACAGCTGCTAAATAAATGCTTATAAATGCTGCTGAATTATTCCAAGATAGATATTTTGAAAATACCTTGGCTCCAAAATTGAAGTCAAAAGGTATGCTACTTTGGAGAAGAGATTTTGCTTTTGTTTCCACAGAAAATGAGAGGCTATGGATTCATTCTGAGTTAAGAAAAATCAGCTTTGATCAAGGAAGGCCACCTGAGAAATCTCTGACAGGAACAGATGGCCCAGATGTCTGAGTTCTTCATCCAGAACAGGTTCAAGACTGCTGACTGAGATAATCGAGATTCACAGGATACTCCAGTCAGGACTTAATTATAATTCTAAACTTTCTTTAGGTCCCCATAAGATCACCAGCGCCCCCAACCAGCAGGAAGTAGCCTGAAATACTACACCCACATTCCCAACAAATGGACTATGGGTATTTTCCTTTGTTTAAAAAAAAAAAAAGAGGGAAATGGTGTGGGAGAATTATCTGTATTCTGTCAATCATGTACTTTAATAAAACACTGATTGGCCAGGCAGGAAGTATAGGCAGGAATACCATACAGGAAGTAGAGGTGATGCAATGAGAACTTCTGGGAAGCAGGAAGCTTCCCCTACCACTCCTGCGCAGACCACTGAAGAAGCAACATAAACTGCCCCCGCTGGAAAAGGTACTGAGCCATTATGGCTAACATAGATAATGATAATGGATTAATATAAGTTACAAGGACTAATAAGAAGCCTGACCTAATGGGCCAATCAGTTTATAATCTTATGGAGTCCTGTGTGTGATTTTCTTTGGGACTTGCCGACTTGTTGGGGTGCCGGCTGGGACAGAAACCCCAACAAGCCGGCCCTCATGTTACAGACTATCAGGGTGAATATTTTACAAATCCCTTCCTGGAATCAGGTAGAAGGTGAATGCAAAGGGCTACAGACCAAAAGACTTCTACCACAGGATGCCTTGCTACCCAGGATATGGCTTTGTTATCATTTCCAGCTAATCAAAAACATCCCTACCAAACCGACCTACCATGAAATGTCCTGGCTCCTTCTTCCTACTACCATCCACATTTCTTAAATCTTGCATCTTCCCAGACACAATTCTGAAACTTCCCTCATCAACAGAACAGTAGACTCCCAGTGTAATAGGCAAGACTTTGAAATTAATGGTTCATTTGTGAGATAGCCTAGCAGAATCCCCAGCTTTGATTATACTAATATTTTGCGTCATGCCATACAGCATGAAAGCTAATCACCATAGATCCCTGGTGTAGTGTAACAATCATGCAGAGAAAACCTTCACAAAGAAGAAGAAGATGGTAAGTGTCAGAGTCACCACTTATTCAAAGAAGCCAATTCTTCTAAAACTCAAGAGAAACATTTGAGGCAAAATAAAGAATGTGGGAATTTAGTTATTTTGCTAATGTGTAACATACTTTTTTCACAATGGCATGAACTGTGACATGCTTTCTCGGTATATACAAAAGATTTGAATTGTGTGAGTTCAAATAAATTAAAATAAATTTTATATATATTCAGCTCCAAAAATATGAGGGAAACATTTACTGAACATTTTCAGCATATGTTAAATCAAATCCTGACAATAAAATTTATTTCAATCCCTTTTCAACTCACACATTCATCTAAACAGCACTGTCCAAAGGAAGGTAATATGAGCCTCATGTACAATTTTTATTTAAATTTGGAAGAAAAAATAATAATTAGAAAGACTAAAATTAGTATTTTACTTAAATCATTATGGCAAAAATATTAAAATTTCACCAATATAAACACAGAGTTACTTCACAATCTTTTTTTTGTACATCTTTAAAATCTCCTGTTTTATACTGACTAACAACACACCAATTTGGAATCGCCATAGTTCAGGGAGAGACCTAAAAGTCACCAGAATTTCAAATGTTGTGAAAGATGATGGTTTAAGTCTTTCACCTGTGCGTTCTATCTGCACACACTAAGTTGCTGCCATTCCTTAGAGTCTATGCACCATAGATTAAGAAACACAGTTGTCAAAATTATCTCTTTGTCAAACATTAATGCTCATGCCATGCCTGCCACTCAGTCAAGGACAACAGCGGTGACTGATATGGAAAGAGCAACCCTGCGCCTGCACATGTACAGACACTAACGAGTGGTCGATACTTTCTACATGGTATTTACTACAATTACTAACTAACCTTTAATATTCCCTCACCTATGCTGTGTGTACACAAGTGTTTCTCCCATGTTGCTTAATGGAAGAGCTACATCACATCTGCATTTTAATAAAAAGCTTGCCTGAAGTCCCAGCATTGATCGGCCTTAGAGATCAGGCAGTGGTGACAAACACTTTTAATCAAAGAAGCCACACTAGTTTGCCATGGAAACCTGGTGGTAGTGGTGCACGGCTTTAATCCCAGCCCTAGAGAGGAATATAAAACAGGAAGAGACAGCAGACACAGTGTCATTCTGAGATTCCTGGAGGCAGGATCACCATTTCGAGCTGAGGTAAAGAGCCAGTGGCTGGTTGTTTTGCTTTTCTGACTTTCAGGTTGAGCCCCAGTATCAGTCTCTGGGTTTTTATTAATCATGCTACACTTGACTAACTTTATATATCCTTGCCCCTTAATAAAAACATTACAGATATTGTCTATAGTGCATGGTTATGGATTGATTATGAGCCTCAATTGGTTTATCCTCTCATAGCCATCTTCTGAATAGGCACAATATATTCCACATTTTTATCAATAAAGCAATAATGGTTGTTTCTTCCTCAAAGCAATTCTAGTAGTCTAACTCTAATCATTATAAAGTTGCTAGAAATTTTCAACTGGTAAGAATCACATTTTTCCTATCTTCATCTTGTTCATGATCCATTCACAGAGACATGAGGTAAAAGTTAACAGCCCTTCCCAACATCAGCTTCAGGGTTAACCCTTCCCAGTTTCAGGGTTAGAGAAGCGCGCACTCATGGGCACACACACCCCTTCTGGGAGGAGAGAATGAGTTTCCCATCCACTATACATTCAACACTGACAGTCACAGAGTAAGTAAGAGGTCTAGATATTCTTTAGCTATACATATTCAATAAAATAGAAATACTGAGCTGAGCGGTGGTGGCGCAAACCTTTAATCCCAGGACTCGGGAAGCAGAGGCAGGCAGATCTCTGTGAGTTCGAGGCCAGCCTGGTCTACAAGAGCTAGTTCCAGGACAGGCTCCAAAACCACAGAGAAACTGTCTCAAAAAACCAACCAAACAAACAAACAAAAAAATAGAAATACTGTTTAAAAGAAATTTAAAACTAGTAAATATATTGAGCTTTTAAAAATAAAAAAAAAATCATGTTCTGACTAAAGGCAAAATTTATTACCAGAAAAAAACTGAAAATATTTATAAAGTTCTTTGGCAAATATTGAGAACATAATTTATCACAGGAGTGGAAGCAGGTGTTAACATTTTATACTGTATGTAATAAAATCATACTTTAACAATACTGCTATTATCTAAAATTTACAGTCACTCATGTGATTTTAGTACAAACTCTCCAATTAGAATCGTGTCTGTGAACTTCCTGCACATTTCAGCGTTTCCGACCTTCCACAGAACCTGTCCGTCTACACTACTGTCCGTCTGTCAACAGTGGAGAAGGCAGTCACGGTCTCCCCTTAGGTGACGCAGTCAATCTCCGTACTCTGTTTCCTTTTCTTCTTTTTCTTCTTATGGTCACTCTGATAGCCACTGGAGTCACTGGCTTGGAGAGCTGGGTCCTGCTCTTCCTGGTGCCTTTTCTTCTTCTTTTTCTTCTTCCTTGGCTCTTCTTCACAGAGGTCATTCACAGAATCTCCACACAGTATGTCTGTTTCTTCCCTTGGCGTGGCATCAGCATAGTCTGCTAGCTCCGTGACACCGTTGGCTACTACATCTGCTTCTGCGTCTTTCTTCTTTTTCTTTTTCTTCTTTGAAATTTTTTCAGCAACCTCTTCAATGCCAGTTTCTGCTACATCTTCAGACACTACAGAGCTCTTAAGCTGCAAACTGTAAATGAGCAGATTTTTACAGTATTAACAGTGATAATCAAAAAGACAGGAAAAATGAGGTCAAGACAATTTCAAGAGCCTGGTTTTTGGCACAACAAGGAACATAAGGTAGTTAGTGTGGCTCTAATTCCAAAAGTTCTGTCTTGATATTACTCAGGCCACTAAAATATCTACAAGTTGTCAATGTCGAGCTCAATGGTAAAATCACCCGGCTCCTTTCTGATCTTTGCTTTCTCCCCCTATGGCAGGCTGGCCTCCAGCTGAGGATCCTCTGTCCAAGCCTTCAAAACGCTGGGATTACTGGAACATTCTACTACACCTAGCCCAAATTTAACATAAACAAAAATGTTAATTTTTTTCCTTTTACTGAACTTCTATAGAACCTCAAACACACCTTCAGACTTTGGTGATGGTTAAGAAAATCCTAGCTATTAAACATTAAATCCAGGTGAATTAACTAAACCAGGGACATTTGATAAGGAAGTATGTACTTCTGGTGTACACCAGAACAACAGAGTCTGCTGTTTATTATTGCAAGTGTCATACACTGACCTTGTGGCATTTAGTTTTCCTCGAATGCAGAAGACTCCAGCAGAATCTGAATCTAAGCGAAATACATCAAATTCCAGTTCATCGCCTACATTTATCTCCAAGGTCTGCCACTCCTCATATGACATCTGCTCAGGTTTAGGGATAGAGGCATTAAAACACCCATGTACTAAACAGCCAATATGACTAGAGGAGACTTTATTAACTGTACCCTGTAGAGAAGAGAAAAAAAAAAAACAACATCAAGAAGAGAGCAAAGAAAGTCAATTTATAATTCTGAAACTCATCTTCGAAGAGAAAGTATCAGATTAATGGTATGTTTTCATATCATAAAAGTTTATTAAAAAATCTAACAACTTATGAAGTCATAGCAAAGTATAATTTTAGAAAACTTAGAAACTTTAAACTTTATTAAATATAAGCAACAACTAGGCCAGTTCCGCCTTAATCTAAGGTGTGGTGGGGATGGGGGCAGTCGAAGGAGCCCGAGTTCCCACTGGAGGGTCTCGGGAGCAGGTGACTCTATGACTGGCTGAAACCAGGAGAACGCACCGTGATGTGCATATGTAATGTGTGAAAAGCACAAGAGAACGCACCGTGATGGCATATGTAATCTGTGAAAAGCACA